CTGCTCTGAAATGTTTAATTGTTTTTAACAGGTGTAAATTCTTGTACATTTGTATAAATAAAAGGGTTAAATATTCACTGTGAGGCGTCTGATAAAATCCCAGCCGTGGAATTAGAGGGAACGCCAGGGGGAAAAAAAACCACCCAGGGCAGGGTAAATGTGACAAAATTCTGGAAAATATGGAGTTTTCCCCAGGGCAGAGAGGGAAAACAGAATCCAGGGATCCAAAAATCAACAGGAATTCCTCAGATTTGTGTCCAGTACAAAACAATTTACACCAAATCATTTACACAATTTATACCTGGAGCTCAACAGAAGGAACACATGGGAATGATTCATTATTTACAGGGGGAATTGAAATAAAATTCTCTAAACACAGCTCAGCTTTGGGGGATTTTTTGGATACTGGGACACAAAGGAAGGGGGACAGGGAGCAGTCAGGTGTTGCTGAAGATGGGCTCCATAAATAGCAGGATAATAAATACAATAATAAATAGCAGGAGTTAAATCCCTGCATTTCTTTGATTCCTGCTCATATTCCTACCTGCAAGAATTCATCTTTTGGCCCTAAATTCTGAATTTCCCTGATTTTTCCCCCAAATTTCCTTTTCTGCACACATCCCTCACTCCTGCACCTCCTCTCACCTCATCAGGATTTGTCGATATTCCTGGAATTTTCCATATTTCAAACTGGAATTTCTGCAGCTCACCAAAGCAATCCTGGGGAACGTCTGAATAACTGCACGGCAGCATTTCATTCTGCTGTAATTAATTAATTAATTTCTTATTTCAAGACACTTCAACTCCAGGTTTTTTGGGAATAATCTGAAGGAAATCCCTTTTTCCTATTCCTGCTCTATTAAATTTTGGTATTTTTAAGGCTCAAAATGCCTTTTTTTTTTTTTTTTTTTTTTTTTTTGGGTGGGAATTACATGGAAATTAAGATTCCTGGAGATCTCCCCAGCTCCCAGAATCCATGTGGGATATTCTGAAAAGTCAGGGATCTGCCCATGGAAGGGGCTCTCCTGAATTTTGTGCCCTTGGGATGGAATTTTCCAGGGAGGTTTCTTGGAGGATGGAAATCCCAGCTGGCACAAAACCCCCCCAGGTGTTTAAGCCCCACTTAAGTTATATAGGATATAAATTATATATTATTGTGTATTTTTTTAATATATATATACACACACACACGTATATATACATACACATATATATACATATATAGATAGACATATAAGTAATATAAATATATTATTAATATATATAAATATATTAAAATAATATATTAAAATATAATCATTATATAATAATTATTTAATATATTCTATTTAAAATATAATATATAATATAATATATATTATATTTAATATTTTGATATATAATTAATATAGTAAAATAGTAATTATTGAAATAATATAAATATATATTTATATATTATATATATTTTTATATATTCTATTTATATAATAAATTTTATTTATATATTTTATTATATATTTCTATATTATATATATATTATAAATAAATATTAAAAGAAATAATATCCTACATTTCTACATAGTTTTACATATGAACATATATATTTTTACCTATATAAAAATATTGCTTTTAAAGATATTTTTATACACAAAGGGGATTTTTTCAGCTCCTCAGCAGAGTGACAGAAATGTCCCCCCGGGCGTCCTTGTCCTCAGCACAAACCCGGATTATCCATCCCAAACCTGCTGGCTCCTCCCTGCCCTGCGGAGAACTCCAGTCCTGGAGAATTCCAGACGTTTTCCCAGACTCAAGCGAGGCACCAAAATTCCAGTTCATCCTCTGGGAAGAGCCAGGGTTAGCTCAGAGCTTAGTCTGGGCTGGGTCTAACTGGGCAGGCTGGGGGGAAGCTGCTTTCCGATGGGTGAGGGGGGGGTTTCTGTTTAAGCAGAGACCAAATTTGAGCTCAGCTTTGCTGCTAAAATTTGCAGGTTTGAGAAATTTGACGTTCAGATTTAGGGTGTGACCGGGAGCAAACCTCTCAGTCTCATTTTGTGTGACCAGGTTAAAGAGTCTGACCCCAAATCTTTAATTCCGGCGTTAACGAGGCACAAAGCCCGGCTTTGCATGGCTAAGCCAGGCCTAAACTGGCTCGCCTAGAGGCTGACAGATGTTTTTTATGGAAACAGAAGGAATTCTGCCCTGGAAAAGCCAGGACAGAGTTTGATTCTGCAGTTGAACCTTTTTTTTTTATTATTTTTTTTTTCCTGCATTAAAGCCCAAGCAGCTGTGGGTTTATGTGATGGGAGTTAGAGCTGGTTTTAACGGGATCATGTCCCACAGCTGGAAAAGCGGCCCAAAAATTGGAATAAAAATAAAGCTGGGCTCATTCCAGTGGAAAAAATCAGTGCTCAGGTGAGTCCTGGATGGCTGAGGGATGTAATTCCTCATCCCAATTGCAATTAAATTCATCAACACTGAGGAAAAGTCATCGACTGAAATAAAGTGCAGGAATTTGAATCCCAGGCTGCTCCAAACCCATCCAGGATGGCCTTGGACACTCCCAGGGATGCAGGGACAGCCAAAAAAATCCCACAAAGAATCCCACAAATAATCCCATAAACAATCCCATAAATAATCCCACAAAGAATTCCCATGGAGCAGAGCATTCTCCTCCTCAACAGCCCAGCCCAGCTCCAAGATAGTACATATATTCTAAATATATGTATTTATATATATATAAGAATTTTAGATGAGATTTATATATACTTTTACATATAGATATGTATTTTAATGTATTTTTATATATAAAGGGGATTTTATATATGTATTTATATATACTGCTATATATATTTTATATATTTATATAGAGAGATTTTTATATATATGAGATTTCTATATACTTTTATACATATATATTTTTATATATTTAAAGGAGATTTTTTTTTTTTTTTTAGTCTCAGTTTATTTGCTCTCTCCCATGCTAAGCACAGCTTAATAAAAATAGATATAAATATGTATTTATATATAAAAATATCAATAGAAATCCTGCACTTGCTGCAGGAACACATCAGGAATAAAGCAATAGATATAAATATGTATTTATATATAAAAATATCAATAGAAATCCTGCACTTGCTGCAGGAACACATCAGGAATAAAGCAATGAACTCCCAGGGGGCTGAGGAGAAAATCTGGAACAGAATCCTCCAGATCCATCCCAGAATATTTCCCCTGGTGTTAATTAGCTAAGCAGAGATAATTAGCTGTGAGCGTTGCACCTCAGCATCAGCAATCCTCTTTGCACTGGCTGAAAACTTTTTTTGGGATTTGCTACTTTAACATTTTATTATAATTGTTATTAATTATTGATATTACTATTCTTATTATTTTATTGTAGTTTATTTAATTTTGTATTCCAGAAGTTTGATTTTCTAGGAGAAAGTTCAGGCTGGCTCTTGTGACAGGAGGAAAACACAACTGGAACAGATCCAGCTGGTTTTGGGGATTAATGAGAAAATTCTAATTAGGAAAGTATCAGGAGCTCCCCTCAAACCCTGACATAAAACATTAATATTCATGAGGTCAAGGCAAAATTCCCAATATTCCAGTGAGATTTCTGCCTCAGGAAAAGCCACTGGAAAATGGCTTTTTTTGTCCTTTACTGGACAGAACTTGAAGAGCCTGAAGTCCAAAATGAACATCCCAAGCTTAACTGGAATTACAGGAAGATAAAACATCAAATCTTCAAGGTATTTACAATTTATGTGAAGAATTCCACAGTTTTTCCAATATTTATCCAAGCAAATCCCCACAAGTGTCCAGTGAGAGCCCTCCCGTGTGGATTTTGCAAACAGACACAACACACTGCAGGTCTCAAATTCTTTAATCCTCTTGATGAAAAGGAGGAAAAAAAAACAGGAATAAAACCCATAAAACAGAGATTTTATGGAGAGCAGAGGTCAGGGATGGGCTCTGCCATCACAGCACAAATTCCTGCCCCAAAATCCAGAGCCAGCACTGCAGGGGAGCAGGAGAATTTGGGAATTGCTGCCTTGGGGAGGGAATTGGGAATGGAAACTTTGGGAAGAGTTCCTGGCTCCCAGCTCTGTGATCCAGCCAGGCCATGGAAGCGCAGTGGTGACAGGAACAGAGAGAGGCACTTGGTCAGGGAGCTGCTCCTAAAGCCAGAAAAGCTTTGCTGGGCCTGGCTTAGAGCCTGGGACAGGTCTGGGATCCCTGGGGTTGGATAACACTGGGAAAACACCAAAGATCAAGTCAAAACCCCTGGGTCCTCACCCAGACTGAGGTGCTGCACATTCCTGGGGAATAAAGCCTGCAGGAGGTCCCATTGCTCCATGAAAAATGGCCCCAAACTGCCTGGGGTAACACCAAAGATCAAGTCAAAACCCCTGGGTCCTCACCCAGACTGAGGTGCTGCACATTCCTGGGGAATAAAGCCTGCAGGAGGTCCCATTGCTCCATGAAAAATGGCCCCAAACTGCCTGGGGTAACACCAAAGATCAAGTCAAAACCCCTGGGTCCTCACCCAGACTGAGGTGCTGCACATTCCTGGGGAATAAAGCCTGCAGGAGGTCCCATTGCTCCATGAAAAATGGCCCCAAACTGCCTGGGGTAACACCAAAGATCAAGTCAAAACCCCTGGGTCCTCACCCAGACTGAGGTGCTGCACATTCCTGGGGAATAAAGCCTGCAGGAGGTCCCATTGCTCCATGAAAAATGGCCCCAGACTGCCTGGGATGAGATCCAAATCTGCTTTATTGCTTCAGCCCCTGAGCCAAAGTGCAAGGCACTGAAATTCCAGGTGTTTCAGGAGCCTTGGAATTCCTGCCCCATTGATCTGATTGTTTGTGAGACCTGAGGAGCCTGGAACCTTCCTGTTGAAACATCTTTCTAATTGCAATAATTGATCCTAATTGCTCTTTGCATTTCCAAATTCCAGAGGCAAGTCTAGATTGCATCCAAGTACAGGAAAACAATGATGAGATCCAAGCCTTGCCCCATTACCTCTTTTTTTTTGTATTTAATGACCTAAGAAAGTTACAAAAGCAACCTGAAATTACATATAAGTATATAAACTAATTAAATATATTTAGCTAACACTGAGAAAATAAATCCCAAGCACCATGAAGACAAAAAACAATAAGAGATGAGTAATTCCAGGGTAATTAAGGACTTTTTGTGGAGTCTCTGGATGAGCTGGAGACCACTGGAAGCTGACCTCATTCTCATTTTCCAACAGCATCTGAGTGATTAGCCCGGATTTTATTAAATTCTGTATTCTGGAAGAACAATTTTATGACTCATTCCTTTTTTTTTTTTTGCCAGTTCCTAATTTCAGGAATGGCAGATTTGCCGGGAATTTCAGCGGCATTTTCATAGGATTCTGACTGCTAAACCGAGCAGCGAAAAGACAGAACTGTCGAGGTACAACAGCAAACTTAAAAAGGAAACGACCACTCCTCTGCTTCTCCATCCTCCACGTGTGCTGAGAACACACTCCCCAAAAGACCAGAAATAAATAACAGCTACTTTTATTCTCCAGGAACGCTCGGACGTGAGCGATTCCTGAGCGCGCCGAGGGAGAAGAACCCGAGGGAGCCGAGGGCTCAGCGGCCACTGAGTTTCCTCATGATGGGGCTGTCGGGCTCGGCGTTGGTGAAGATGCTGCCCACCAGCACGTGGGTGCCCCAGAGGTTGTGCCTGATCACTTTGCAGCAGCCCAGGTCATCCACGGAAAATCCCAAGTGCCGGTAGCGCTCGTCCGTCTCCAGCAGGGGGTTGTTGGTGTAAGGCCCGAAAAACTAAAGGAAAACGACCAGGGGGGAAAAATGGTTTTCCACGTGAGGAGTTTAAGTTAAGCTTGAGTTCAGATGTGTGGAGTTTGAAAGGTTTTTCCTTTCCAATCCCAATGCCACCCTCGCCTTTGGGAAGTTCTGCTGTCTGTGCAGGAATTAAGGGCAGAACTCTGCCAGAAACAGCACAAACAGCACTTGCACTAAGGAGAGAAACTTCCTAGGGAACTGCAAAAATTAACAGCTTCACTTTGCAGTAAGACCCTAAAGAAAGTTGGTTAGAAAAGCAAAAATTATATTTATTTCTATTAAACTGGTATTTATATTAATTTATATTACATTATTTATATTATATATTATATATATTAATTTATTATATATTTATTTTATATTAATATATTATATATTAATTTATATTATATTATTTATATTAATTTATATTAAACTGGTATTTATATTAAACTGGTATTTAAGTATTTAAATTAAACTGGTATTTGAGTTGTAAACAGGTATTTAAATTAAACTAGTATCTAAGGATTTAAATTGAACTGGTATTTAAATGGAACTGGTATTTAAGCTGCACACAGATATTTCAGTTCTTTATCTCAGGAGGAAGCCTCTGACTTCAAAGCCACTCCTGGTCCTGGTTACTGCTGGAGTCTGAAGACAAAACCCCACTTCCACCAATCCCTAATTCCTGCAATGCACTGAATTCTGGGAAGCCTTTCCACCCCTGACCTGCCTGTTCTGCCTTACAGACATCCCCTGCTTGCCTCTGTTGACACAATAAATCCCTGCTTTTTGTAGTGTTTTTAAATAAAACCCCACTAAGCTGAGCTTTGCCACCGTCCCCTTGAACTATGATACGGTTTTAGCAGAGCTCAGACTAAAATTCACCTCCCACTGAAAGCTCCCAGTGTTCCACAGGAACAAAAAGCTCATTTTTTTTGGGGACAAAGGGAACATTAACAGGTGCAAAGAGGTTTTTTAAAGCCTTCACCTGCACAGGTGTCAGGGTTCCCAAGTTACCTGGGCAGGGCAGAAAGTGCCCAAGGGATTTGGGGCATAAAACTTCTCCAGTTCCCTAAAAACCAATTTCATTTCCTGACAGTGCTGGCCCTGCCCTCAGAGCTGACACAGCTGAGCTCATAAATCTTCATTCATTCAAGGAGTTATCCTGAAAAAGCTGGATTTAAGCCAAATTCCACACTGCAAGAAAGAACTTACTGCCAGTCCTGAGGATGGATCAATGAAATCAGCCCAGTAGCCCTCAGAAGAAATTGCATAGCAGATTTCCTTGGCACCATTGATGAACTGGAAGGGAAAAAAATTGGGAAAAGAAAGGTATTAAATGAGGTTATCACACAAAAAGAATTATTTCTAACTTTACAGGTTATAAATAAAATAATCTATTTACTTACAGTTGTAAAAAATTGGATTTTCTCTGCAATTAGTGCCCTAAGAAGCTCAAGGTTCCAAATTGATAAAAATATGATTTATGCACCTTCAGTCCCTTAAAGGTCCAAAATAAAGGAAATTTACCCTTTACAGCAAATTCTGTGTTAGTTGAAAATGAGGGAAATTTATCCTTTAAATTCTGTATTAGTTCAAAATAAAGGGAATTTACCCATTAGTGTAAATCCTTTGTTAGTTCAAAATGAGGCAATTTTACTCTTTACAGCAAATTCTGTGTTAGTTCAAAATAAGGAAAATTTATCCTTTTCAATACAAAATGAGGGAATTTTACCCTTTACAGTAAATTCTGTATTAGTTCACAATAAGGAAAATTTACCCCAGTAAATTCTGTGTTTTGAAGTTTGATGGCTCTGATGATTAATTATGTCCAAACTGTAAATTAAATCCCAAACATCCCAATTTTAGGCACAACATTTCTGATCCAGGATCTCTCCTGGTCCCTCAGGGTGAGGTTAATGAACACTTGATCTGGATTAATGCAAATATTTCTATTTGGCTGTATAACCTCATTTTTTAGCTCCTGAAATGAGGATTTTTCAGGTGAATTCTGCAAGCAAACCAATATTTCCCTGTGAATTTGCTGGTTTTAACCTCACACCCCCCTGTGACTGGATTAGACTTGACAGGGAGGTGCCTGAGGAAGAAAGATGCCAATTAACACATAATTAGAGCAGATTAAAACACCAAAGAGCAACAAGCCAGAAATAATTCAAAGAGAAGAACACACTGAAATGAAGGGAATTTTAATTTCTGTGTCATCTTGTGTTGATTCCTTCTTTTTGTGGTTGATTTAGAGAGCACACATTTGCATTTTAGGGCATTGCCAGATTAATTTCAAGCATAAATATGATTTATTTCCAGATGAACTGCTGGGTTTGGGGATATTTTACAAAGAATAGGCAGAAATGTTCTTTTTTTTCGAGGTGCTAAGGGCAGTGAACAGCGACACTCGGTGGGGAAATGGAAAAATTGTGGAAAATGGGAAATAAAGGGATTTTCAGAGCCCTCTAGAGGTGAAAGAACAAGCCAAAGTTAAGATGAAAAAACACAACTGAGATCCAGGGTAAAAAGAATTTAAACCATTCATGAAAGTGGAAAAAATCCAAGAAAAATCGGTGATTTTTACATTTTTGATCGGTATAAGAACTGAGATCCAGGGTAAAAAGAATTTAAACCATTCATGAAAGTGGAAAAGGTGATTTTTACATTTTTGATCGGTATAAGAACTGAGATCCAGGGTAAAAAGAATTGAAACCATTCATGAAAGTGGAAAAAGATCCAAGAAAAATCGGTGATTTTTACATTTTTGATCGGTATAAGAACTGAGATCCAGGGTAAAAAGAATTTAAACCATTCATGAAAGTGGAAAAGGTGATTTTTACATTTTTGATCGGTATAAAAGTGCAGTGGAATCTTAAATAGTAAATGCTGATTAACAACGAATAATTGTGTTATAAATGATATTTTAACAGTAATGCCTAAAGATGATACAGATCATACGTAAAAAATGTTTGAAACCCAAATCAAAGCCTGGAAAGGCAGCGAGGAGTAAGAGTGGGATTTTGGAAGGAGCTCACGTTGTCCAGGAGCTGCTCCCTCTCCTCCTCCACCTCGTGGCTCCACACGCTCATGTCGTGCTCGCTCCTCTGGGTGACGGTGAGCACGGTCAGGCGCTCGGGGCGCGCCTCCGGGAACAGCGCCTGGAAATCTGAACGGGGAAGGAAATGGAGTTTGTGCTGCTCTGCACGCTGCCCTGGGCAAATCCAGTCTATTTTCATTTTTAGTATTGTGATAGTTTATATACCAGAAAGAGAAATCAAATTAGAGTTCATGTATAAACAGAAATTTTCATATTAAAATAGATATTTGTATGATTTCATAGATAAATTACATACCTGTTTATAAAATTTATATTATGATTTCTATAGGATAAATAGAAATCAAATTATATTTAATATATAAATTTTCATATTAAAATAGATATTTGTATGATTTAATATATGAATTACATACCTATTTATAAAATTTAGATATTAAATTATATAGTTATATTATTATAAAGCATGATTATTTAATATATTAAATAACTATATTATTATAAAGTATGATTATTTACTATATTAAATAATATATACTATTTACATAAATAACTTGATTATTTAAATATATTTTTTCATCTATATATTTATTATTATTAAATAAATTGATAATTTATTTTTATAATTTCTATTTCTTATTTAATTAAATGGTTCCCATTAAATTTCACTCATTTGCTTCCTCAATAAACTAAAAACACAAATTCAGCGCTGGCAGAAGTTCTGTGATTCCCATTTGTTGTTTTATTTAGTAATTCCAAAGGATTTGGTAAATGGATTTTTGATAAGGAATTCACTCCAGAATTTCCCAATAAAACAACTAAAAATTACACTTTAAATGAACTATTGACCATTGTCAGCAGCAAAGCTTTGGCTTCCATTCTACTCTGTTTTATTCCCATTTAATTTCAGTCATTTCCTTCCTGAATAAATTAAAAACACAAATTTAGTACTGGCAGAAATTCCATGATTCCCATTTGTTGCTTTGTTCAGCAATTCCAAAGGATTTGGTAAATGGATTTTGGATAAGGAATTCACTCCAGAATTTCCCAATACAACAACTAAAAATTACATTTTAAATTAAATATTAAATACTGCCAACAGCAAACATAAAAATATATTTTAAAATTTAAAAAATTCAATATTGCAAACAGCAATTGGTTTCCATTCTGTCCAAAGGGATTTTTGTAATGGTTAATTCTGAATTAACCTTTCCTACACCACACTGACATTCAGTGGTTTTACATTTAAAGCTGAATTTCTTGGCTGGAAATAAAAATGAACCTTTTCTCAGCAGCTCAGGACAGGCTTGCACTGCACATTCCACCTTGGCATTTTCAAAGTAGGTTTCAGCATTGTTGATCTGCTGCTTCTGGGGAGCATCAGAACCCTAAAAAATGGGAAAATTCGAATTTTCTCAGTTAGTACCAAGCAGGAATAACTCTGGACATCAAAACAGGGTTGAGTGATCAGATACACTTGAGCAGTTTCAGATTATTTGCAGTGGCACTTCACACTTTTCAAATTAAATACTGAAATAATATTATTAACCATATTGAATGTTACTAAGTTATTTAAAATCTGAAAATATATGAAAAGAGATATTAAAAGATATAAAAAGTAAAATAGATTTTGGTGTTACTTAAATCCACACAGAAATATTTGTATTTTATAGAAATACCAACATTTTCTATTTTATTTGAACTATGTTATGCTAAAGCAGAATACATATGAACACAAAGATATTATTCTATATAATATAAACATAAATAAAGAATATAACATATGTAAATATATACAGATATATATAGAAAATATATATACATATATATAAATATAAATACAGAAAATTTAATTAATTATTTGAAATAACTATTATTTATTAACTGACAGATTTCAGATATTCCCTGATTATAGAAGTTCCACTTCTATAATTAACTTCTAAAATTAACTAAAGCAGAATTTTCTGGTGGCTTTTTATGGCAAAAAAGCCCTTTTTTTCAGGCTTTTAGGATCCAACCAAGCTGCAGCCAGAACCTGGGGAGCTGCCAGGAGCTGATATTTCCCAAATCTTTGGGACACAATGACTCATTCCCAAAATCCAGGATCCAGCACTTTCCAATGGAGATTTTCTCAGTGAATCCCAAAATCTGAGCATTCCCCAAAGCCGGGGCCTGCAAAGCTGAGGCAGCAGCACTGAAAATCTGAGGGAATGTTGGCATCATTCTGCCATTATAAACTGATTTTTAAAATTATTTTATTAATATTTTATTATTTTAATTAACAATTGGTTTGTTTAAAATTTTATTTAAAATAATTTTATTAAGAATTGTATTCTATTTTTATTATATTCATAATGATGATTCTGAATGGCTGCCAGAATTCTCTCTGTGAGGCTGGGGGATTTCTGGGTGAATTTCATGATTTTTAGAACTAACCATTACCTAAACTTAGCAAATCCATGAAATAAAATACTGAAGGAAATTTCAGTTTCACAATGATGAATCTTCATTGTGAGGTTGGGGGATTCCTGGGTGAATTTCATGGCTTTCAGAACTAAACATTGTCCAAACTTTGCAAATCCAGAGCCATGAAATAAAATACTGAAGGAAATTTCTATTTTACTGGGTGTATTCATACTGATGAATCTGGAACACTGCCAGAATCCTCTCATAATGAGAGGGGGGATTATTATAAATTGGAGGATTCCTGAGTGAATTTCATGATTTTTAGAACTAAACATTGCCCAAACTTTGCAAATCCAGATCCATGAAATAAAATACTGAAGGAAATTCCCAATTTTACTGGGTATATTCGTAATGATGAATATGAATCAGGCTGCCAGAATCCTCTCATTATGAGGCTGGGGGATTCCTGGTGTGAATTCCACATGAATATGATTTTTAGAACATTGCTTGGAGTTTGCAAAACCAGATCCATTCAATAAAACACTGAAGGAAATTTCAATTTTACAACGATGAACCTCTCATTGTGAGATTGGGTGATTCCCCTGTGAATTTTGTGGTTTTTAGAACTAAATATTGCCCAAACTTTGCAAATCCAGACCCACTCAATAAAACACTGAAAGACATTTCAATTTTCCTGGGTAAAAGGAGGTGAGACTTGGCCAACAGCAGGTTTGGAGACTGAAATCCTCCCATTAACCACTCCTAAAATGCTGCTCCAAACCAGCCTGAAATCTTGTTCTCCTAAAACACCAACTTGAGGCAGTTTCTGTGGCAGAACATTGTGCAGAAAGAACACAATTTGAGGAAGAAGAGAGGTGTGCTTTTTGATGAAGAAGAGACCTGTGCTTCTTGAGGAAGAACAGTTGTGCTTTTTGAAGAAGAGAGCTGTGCTTCCTGAGGAGGAAGAGCAGAGCTGTGCTTTATGGGGAAGAAGAACACAGCTGTGCTTTTTGAGGAAGAAGAGATTGTACTTCCTGAGGAAGAGCAGAGCTGTGCTTCCTGAGGAGGAAGAACACAGCTGTGATTTTTGAGGAAGAACAGTTGTGCTTCCTGAGGAAGAAGAGAGCTGTGCTTCCCGAAGAGGAAGAGCAGAGCTGTGCTCCCTGAGGATGAAGAGCAGAGCTGTGCTTCCTGAGGAAGAAGAGAGCTGTGCTTCCCGAGGAGGAGGAAGAGCAGAGCTGTGCTGTGCTTCCGGAGGAGGAGGAGGAGGAGGAGCAGAGCTGTGCTTCCCGAGGAGGAGGAGGAGGAGGAGGAGGAGCAGAGCTGCGCCTCTCCCGCGCAGGGTTTGCCCTCACCTGGAACTCGCTGATGCACTGGGCCATGACAAACTCGTGCCTGTCGCCGGCCGAGGGCTCAGCCAGGAGGTCGGGCAGGCTCCGGGCGGGCCGGGCTCTCTGCCCGGCAGTGCCGTGCAGGTGGCAGCCGAAGCCGATGTTCCCGGGCAGCTGGAAGCGCTGGTCCTGAGGGCCAAAGGGCCCCATCAGCTCGTCCGGCCACACCGTCCTGGGACCTGAGGGACCGGGAAACCCAGGGCGGTCAGGAAATCCCAAAAAACAGCCAGGGAAATCCCACACCAGACACAAAAGCTAAAACCGCTCAGGGAAAACCCAAAAATGGTCAGGGAAACGCAAAACCGGTTGGGGAATCCCAAAAAGGGCTGGGAAATCCCAAAAGTGGTAGGGAAACGCCAAAACCTGTCAGGGAAACCCCAAAACTGGCCAGGGAAACCCCAAAACCTGTCAGGGAAATCCCCAACTAGTCAGGAAACCCAAAACTGGTCAGGGAAACCCCAAAACTGGTCAGGGAAACCCCAAAACTGGTCAGGGAACCTCAAAAACAGCCAGGGAACCTCAAAAACAGCCAGGGAACCCCAAAACTGGTTGGGAAGCTCCAAAAATGGCTGGGAAGCCCCAGAAACGGTCGGGAAGCCCCAAAACCAGTCAGGAAACCCCAAAACCTGTCAAGAAATCCCCAAAATCTGCCAGAGAATCCCAAAAGTGGTCTGGGAAACCCCAAAAATGGTCGGGAAATCCCAAAACCACTCAGCAAAGCCCAAAATCACTCAGGGAAAGCCCAAAACCGCTCAGGGAAACTTCAAAAATGGTCAGGGGACCCCAAAAATGGTCAGGGAACCCCAAAACCTGTCAAGAAATCTCCAAAACCAGTCAGGGAAATCCCAAACCAGACACAAAAGCTAAAACCGCTCAGGGAAAACCCAAAAATGGTCAGGGAAACGCAAAACCGGTTGGGGAATCCCAAAAAGGGCTGGGAAATCCCAAAAGTGGTAGGGAAACGCCAAAACCTGTCAGGGAAACCCCAAAACTGGGTCAGGAAACCCCAAAACCTGTCAGGGAAATCCCCAACTAGTCAGGAAACCCAAAACTGGTCAGGGAACCTCAAAAACAGCCAGGGAACCCCAAAACTGGTTGGGAAGCTCCAAAAATGGCTGGGAAGCCCCAAAAACCTGTCAGGAAACCCCAAAACCTGTCAAGAAATCCCCAAAATCTGCCAGAGAATCCCAAAAGTGGTCTGGGAAACCCCAAAAATGGTCAGGAAATCCCAAAACCACTCAGCAAAGCCCAAAACCACTCAGGGAAAGCCCAAAACCGCTCAGGGAAACTTCAAAAATGGTCAGGGGACCCCAAAACCTGTCAAGAAATCTCCAAAACCAGTCAGGGAAATCCCAAACCAGACACAAAAGCTAAAACCGCTCAGGGAAAACCCAAAAATGGTCAGGGAAACGCAAAACCGGTTGGGGAATCCCAAAAAGGGCTGGGAAATCCCAAAAGTGGTAGGGAAACTTCAAAAATGGTCAGGGGAACCCAAAAATGGTCAGGGAACCCCAAAACCTGTCCAGAAATCTCCAAAATCAGTCAGGGAAATACCAAAAATGGTCAGGAAATGCCCAAACCAGCAGGGAAACCCCTCTGCCACACAAGGATTTGATCACAAACATCAGCAATGCACAAGTCAAAAATCCCACTTCAAATCTGGGATTTCAAGGGAATAAATTTGCTTTTTTCTTTTTTAGAAATGTGCTTTTTCCTCTTAAATTTGCTCTTCTTTTTTATCAAGTCAAATTCAGACTTTCAGGGAATAAATTTGCTTTTTTCCTAGATGTGCTTTTTCTACTTAAATTTGCTTTTTGTTCTGAAATTTACTTTTTTCCCTTCTACCAAGTCAAAAATCCCACTTCCAAATTGGGATTTCCAGGGAATAAATTTGCTTATCCATTTTCTAAATGTGCTTTTTCTTCATAAATTTGCTTTTCTACCAAGTCAAAAATCTCACTTCCAAAACTTGGATTTCAAGGGAAAAAATTTGCTTTTTCTTTTTTACAAATGTGCCTTTTCTTCTTAAATTTCCTTTTTCTTCTTCAATTTCCTTTTTCTTTTCTACCAAGTCAAAAATTCCACTTCCAAATCCTGCTTTAAAGGGAATAAATTTACTTTTTTCTATATGTGTTTTCCTTAAATGTGCTTTTTTTTTTTTCTTAAATATGCTTTGTTTCTTCTACCAAGTCAAAAATCCCCATTCTGAATTCAGATTTCGAGGGAACAAATTTGCTTTTTCTTTTTTCTAAATGTGCTTTTTTTTCCCCCTAAATTTGCTTTTTTTTATGAATTTGGTTTTTCTCCTCTATCATGTCAAAAATCCCACTTCTAAACTGAGATTTCCAGGGAATAAATTTGCTTTTTTCCTAGATGTGCTTTTTCTACTTAAATTTGCTTTTTGTTCTGAAATTTACTTTTTTCCCTTCTACCAAGTCAAAAATCCCACTTCCAAATTGGGATTTCCAGGGAATAAATTTGCTTTTTCCATTTTCTAAATGTGCTTTTTCTTCATAAATTTGCTTTTCTACCAAGTCAAAAATCTCACTTCCAAAACTTGGATTTCAAGGGAAAAAATTTGCTTTTTCTTTTTTACAAATGTGCTTTTTCTTCTTCAATTTCCTTTTTCTTCTTAAATTTCCTTTTTCTTTTCTACCAAGTCAAAAATCCCCATTCTGAATTCAGATTTCGAGGGAACAAATTTGCTTTTTCTTTTTTCTAAATGTGCTTTTTTTTTCCCCCTAAATTTGCTTTTTTTAATGAATTTGGTTTTTCTCCTCTATCATGTCAAAAATCCCACTTCTAAACTGAGATTTCCAGGGAATAAATTTGCTTTTTTCCTAGATGTGCTTTTTCTACTTAAATTTGCTTTTTGTTCTGAAATTTACTTTTTTCCCTTCTACCAAGTCAAAAATCCCACTTCCAAATTGGGATTTCCAGGGAATAAATTTGCTTATTTTTTTGTAAATTTGCTTTTCTTCACAAATTTGATTTTTCTCTCATACCAAGTCAAAAATCCCATTTCTAAATTAGGATTTCCAGGGAATAAAAGTGCTTTTTCTTACATAAATCAGGAGGTGCAGCAGCCACGTGAGGCTCATCTGAGCCAGAAGATCCTGCAGTGGAAAAAGCCTTGGCATTCCCAACTCTTCTGAGCAAGGAATAAAAGCCTGGGAGGTAGGTGACCAATCTTGCTCTGTTACAGAGCACCTGAGGAGGAAAAAAAAATAAATTTAAGAATAAAATAAAATAATAATTTCATACTAAAAATCCAAAGAATCATTTAAACACAGCTCTGTGACAAAAATCCTCCCTCAATAACCACATTGAAATTTGAATTATGGCCAGCTGAAACATCAAGTTGTAGAAATATTTTATTGTTATTTTTGTCTTTTGTTGTTCCAAGCAAAGAAAAAAGCCCTGAAAAATTTAAAATAGCACCACAGAAACCCCACAGTTTAAATTAAATTATGGATAAGGATTGTCTCCATGGTTATCTCCTGGAAAACACAAATCCCACCTGCCACGGTGTGGGAGGTTTTTGGAAAATTCAACTTTTCAGGTGAGGAGTACATTTTCATTTGGGAAAATGACACAAAAGGATTTCCCCCAAGAGCTGCAGCTTTGATTCAGGAAAAAATTCATGCAATTTTACATCAAAAGAGGCTCTTTCAGAAGTCATTTACTTTTAAAAAAGAGAACAAATGGTGCTATTTGGATATTTAATGCAAAAAAGGCACTTTCAGAAGTAATTTACTTTTAAAAAAAGAGAACAAATGGTGCTATTTGGATATTTAATGCAAAAATTGTATTTAAAGCATCAGGACCTAAGGCAGTTTTTCATCCAGCTCTTCTGAGTAAATACAAAATAATTTCCACCAAATTATAAAAAAACTCAAATGCTTCAAGACACATTTAATGCATGACTTAAATCAATTATTTCCAGCTCAAGCCTGGAGCTGTCTCCTTCTAAAACAGCTTTAAAAGGTTCCTGTAGCACAACAAAAATCTGATTCCACTCAAATCCTTTTCCTTTATCACATCAAATCGCTACTGGAATTAATTCCTGCACGATGATGATGATGTTACAAACAGATGTAAACAATTACAGACAACATGTAATTAGCAGAAAAGATAATTTTTCCTTATTATCAGCCTGACTTAACAGGGAGATGTCGCTAATTACAGCTCACTCATGCAAATATTGACACACCTGGCGCGACACGAGAAACACCAGCGAGGGAAGCAATGAATTATTCATGTCCCCGCGGCGGGAGCAATAAAAACAATCAATAAAAGGTGATTGATGCTCCCCAAATCAGCTGAGCGCTCCGAAACACGGAATTCCTCTGTGCCTGAGCCCAGAAAAAATGGATTTAATCCTTAATGACGTTATTATTGCTGGGGTGTTCAAAGCGGAGGGGGGCTGCATTGGGATTTTAGGGAGAAATTCTTCCCCCTGAGGTTCTGTGGCTGCCTCTGAACCCCTGCAAGCCTTGGAGCACACCGGGAGCTGTCCCTGCCCACGGAATTAAATTATTTTTAAGGGTTTTTTTTTTTTCTCCCCACCCAAACCTGTTTGTAATTGCATTTAATCCTCAACTGCGCTGTTCCCGGGATAGCCGCAAGCTCTGGCGTCACTCACTCACATTGGCCATGGCAGACGCTGCTCTCCCCTCGCTGACAGGCCCGGACACCCCTGCGAAAGAGAACGGAAGAGGGCAGAGAACAGAAAGGGGACGAGGCAAGGGAAGGGAAGAGGGAAGAGAAGAACTCCCCAGCCCCGGAGCCCCCTCACGCCCCGCACGGCCTCCCCGCCTCCCAGCAGCGGCGCTGCCGCGGACAGGCAGAGGAAGCTGACGGGAAGGGAGAAAGAAACGGGAAAATGGGAGAAGGAAAAGGGAAAAGGGAGAAGGAACCCGGAAAAGAGGAAAAGCAAAAGGAACCCCCGGCCCCCCTCACCTCTTCCTGCAAAATGGCGGCGCCCACCCGCCCCCGCCCCGCCCTCGCCGCGCGCCTCCAGGCTGAGCCAGTCGATCCGCCGACACCTCGATGGGCGCGGCGAGGCACCGGGCGGAATCCGCCGCTCGGCGTTCTGTTGCTCAGGGCTGCGGGAGGGGCGGTGAGGGCCGTGAGGGGGAGGCGGTGATGGCGGCGGGGCCGGCGGGGCCGGGGAGGTTCCCGTGGGATCTGCGGGGCCGGGATCGGTTGTGGCGGTGCCGGGATCGGTCGTGGACGGGCTGGGGTGTCCCCTCGGTGCTCCCAAGGCGGTGTTGCCCCGTGTGAGGGGCGGAGAAGGGCGGCCGTGGGTGCTGTTCTCGCGCGGGGCACCAGGGGGCAGTCACGGAGCGTCAGCCGCCCTCATCGCCCTCATCATTTTTGGGGATCCAAAAAGTGGAAAATGGGGAGAAAAAGGGGAAAAGGGGTTTGTTGAAGGGAATTGAAAGGAGGGAATTGAAAGGAGGTAATTGAAAGGGTGATTTCTCTAAGGAAAACCGCAAAGCCAGGTGTTCGCTGGAATGGGGAGCATCAGTGGCGCTTCTGCCACAAAACTGTGACTTCAAGGGCAATACCTCAAATAACTTCTATAAAATAAGAATAAAAATATTTTAAACCTGCTTCAATGGCTTTTCTCCCTGTTGATTTTGTTGGTTTTTTAATGGAAAAGCTCCCCAGGGAATGGTCACAGCCCCAAGGATTAAAGTATTTCTCATTTTTTGCCATTTCTTTGCTATCTGTTCCAGGCAGCGTTGCTGGTGAAGAAAAATGAACTTTAATCTCTCCCAAATAAAAGTTTGGGCGTTCCCATCCCTCAGTGACTTTGCACAAGGCCTTGAATTTATTTTCCTTCTAAACCAGAGGTTTCTGGACATTTATTTTGCTTTGTCAGTGGTTTATTAGCAGAAATTTATTAACATAAACCAGTGCCAGAGGTTTCCATAGTTCAAAATCAGAGCAGGACACTGGGTTTGTGGCCAGGGCAATAATATTCAGCCTTACAATGTTCTTACTGCATTTAATAAAGTCTTGGCTCTATTTTATCAGGATCAAGAGGGAATGGTGAGATCCATTCCTAAACAATGTGATGTATTAAGTAGCTCTAATGTTGCAATTTTGATTTTTGGACTTTTTCGTGAGCACACTTGCTCACTGTTGGATGCCACTCAACTCTTTTATTAATTCAATGTTAGCACACTTAATTCCCGTTTGCTTTTGAATTAAATATTCATGTGGAATCTCTGAACTTCAGGAAAAAAAAAGATGAGAAATCAGAGAAATTTAACTTTAACTCTTTACAGAATGTAATTCATGTCCTCTAATAGGAAGCACTGTGGATTAAATCCAGCCTGTATTGACTTGTCCTTAGGCAATCCCAATTTATCTCCTCTCCAGGGCTGCCACTTCCAGATACTCCAATCAATCCATGAGTTATCAGCCCCTCAAGTTGGTGGCCTGAATTCCTAAAGATTCATTTCAATAAAGTTCCTATTCAAAGGAGACTGCGGAATCAAACGATCCAATTACAGATTTATCAAATATTAATAAGGAAAAAATCTTCCAGATCTTTTGGATGCCAGCATCCTTCTCCCCTGGTGTCAGGAAAGTAATTAGCAGCTGGCTTTGATTAAATTCTTCCCTCGGAGATTGCTGCTCTCAGTTTGAGGGAGAGATGCACACGACAGGGTTCCTAATTCCTCCTTGGAAAGCCTTTTTGGAAAAACCCACGTGGCTTCAGTTCGGGGAAACTCCTCGGTGTCCAAAACCTGGAGCTGAAAGCTGAAGTTCATGCCCAGGTTTTGCTGTTTTTTCCTGTTGTTACTGAGATGATTTTATTCCTCAGGGATCTCCAGCATGGAAAGGACGTGGAGCTGCTGGAGAGTCCAGAGGAGACCATGGAGATGATCAGAGGGAAAGGCTGGGAGAGTTGGGAATGTCCAGCCTGGAGAGGAGAAGGCTCTGGAAAAACCTCAGAGCCCCTGGCAGGGCCTGAAGGGGCTCCAGGAGAGCTGGAGAGGGACTGGGGACAAGGCATGGAGGGACAGGAGCCAGGGAATGGCTCCCACTGCCAGAGGGCAGGGATGGATGGGAGATTGGGAATTGGGAATTCCTGGCTGGGCTGGAATTCCCAGAGCAGCTGGGGCTGCCCTGGATCCCTGGAATGTCCAAGGCCAGGCTGGAGCAGCCTGGGGCAGTGCGGGGTGTCCCTGCCATGGAATGGGATGAGCTTTAGGCTCCTTTCCAACCCAAAGCATTCCATGATTCCAGGGTTCTCTCTTTGGGACAGTGATCTCCTCTTGGCACCTTGGCCAGCACCAGGAGGAGCCTCAGAACTTTCCAGCACCCCCTGCCTGAACACTGAACTCCAGAGCTCATCTGGGATTCTCCTTCCATGCCCAGACCTGCTGGATTCCCTGCTCTGGAAGCAGAGGAGCCAGAGGTGCCCCTGAGAAGCTGCTTTGGTGCCCGAGACAAGCAGAAAGTGAATTTTCAGCTTTTCCAACCATTCCTGAGTTGCTGCTTTGGTGCCCGAGACAAGCAGAAAGTGAATTTTCAGCTGCTTCCTCTCAGCTCTTCCAGGAACCCAGAGAAGCTGTGCAAACTCCATCCTTGGAGTCTTCAAAACCCCGGGATGAGGTCCTGGAATTGGACTGGAAGCTCCAACCAGGGTTTCGTCCTTTGTGTGGGTGTTTGCTGGTTTTATTCCCAGTTCCAGCTTGGGAACTGTGGGAAATAGTAAAGGTAAGAAGATTTTCAGAAAGCTGGGAAAGCAGGCCTTGGAAACAGAGCAGAAAACAGAGCTGGCTGCAGCTGCCAACTCTGAAAGCAGAAAAAGTTGCAACAGTACAACAAGCACTGGGACTTGAAACAATAGCTTGAATTTTAGGAATTTTCCCTGGTGGTTTTCCCTTTGGATACAGAAGATGCTGGTTAAGTAGTGCTAAAAAAAACCCCCGAGATATTCTTTATTCCCATTGCCCATTTATCTGTGCAATGATGGATTGTGCTGGTGCTCCCAATTTTCCTAATGGCACCCATTAAACTTCATTAGGACTTTGTTAAACCCGAGTTCAAATCGTTGCCATTGATTTTGCATCTCTGAAAGCTGCTGGAAGCACATCAGGCACGGAACATTCCCGGCCTCCCTGGCATTCCAGCCACATTCCAAAGGGCATCAGAGGGGCTGGGATGCCAGCCTGTGGTCCAGGGGATATTTAGGATCACCCCACAGAGCTGACAGTTCTCAGCCATCCTTTGTCACTGCCCCAGCCAGGGAATTTTTAGCCTCCACACTCCAGCTCAGCTATTTTGTTTATCCATTTTATTCCTTGTATTTATTTTTCCTCACGTTTCCACTGGGGCTCCCCCTTGCCTTGACCTGCTAAACCTCAGGAATGAGGAATGGCTGCTCCTGAGTGCCAGGGATGGAGGAGAAGGGAGGAAAGGTTTTAACCGTGCTCTTTTCCACAAAATAAACATCCTCTGGCTATAGGAAGAGTAAACTTCCCCTGGAAATGGATGTGTTTATATGAACAATCCCTTTCTTCTGGCATTTCCAGAGATTTGCTGGCTACCACTGGGAAAAGAGGCTTTTAGGGGAGCAGTGCAATTACACCAGATAAGTCTTTGCATGATTTGTTTTCTTTTTGGGAAGACATTCCACCCCCTGGATGGATTGCTGTGAACCTGAAAGGGATTTCCTCCTTTATCTCCTGCATGTCCCTGCCCGCTGGAATGTTCACCAAAAGGACAGGAAAGGCCTTTTCCCAGCAAACTGCTTGGCTTTGACTCTGATTTACTGGGAATCCTTTACCAGCAGCCTCCCCTGTATCTGTAAGCTCCCAATTTTTCACCAAAGAGAGAATTTTCTCAACGTTCCTAAACGGGGATGTGCCATTTCCAGGGACATCCTTCCAACAGGAGCCCTGATGCAGGATCATCCAGATGGATCTGAGGTTGAGGCAGACAGTAATTCGCCTCAGTTTGGTTTCAAACAGAGAAATCGAGTTTTAAAAGCTTTAGAATTTCCTTGGTAGGGATTAAACAGGAATATTTTTCCTGGGAAGCATGACCTGCTCCTTGTTGCTCACGTGGGGTGAGTGAGGAGATTCCCAACCCCTTTTTCCTCAGGTTCCTTCCAGCAGCACCTCAGGGATGCTGCCACATCCAACACGGCCTGTGGGGAACAGGGAATGATTGCAGGTCGGGTGTTTTGGGAGATATTTCTATTTACCACTGGTCCCACTCCAAATTTATGGAATTTAGGTGCCAATAATTTAGTGCTGAGGCTGCCACCAAAGCTGGAGGCCTAATTTAGTCTGGATTAAGTTTCATGTGACCTGAATTTGGTGGCAAATCTCAAATCTGGGAATTTGTGGAATTTAGGTGTCAGTAATTTAATGCTGAGGCTGCCACCAAAGCTGGAGGCCAGGAATAGTCTGGATTAAGTTTAATGTGACCTGAATTTGCTGCAGCCTGAAGCTGAACTGGGACAAGGACTGGTTTGATCGGGTCTGCATTTTCCTGAGATCCCAGCTCTTGCATGGAGAGATCCAGGGGGAGCAGGAGGATGTGGAGCTCTCTCTTGGGATCTGCTGGTGGCAGAGACACCAGGCTTGGCAGCCTGGAATGCTCCAGGTGCTGGTGGTCCTGAGCCCTCCATCTGCTCTGGGATGTGCCATTCCAGGCTCTGGGTGCCAGATGTGC